ATATCGCAATATTTCATTGGGCAAATATTAAATAGTGAGCTCGGGGTAAAGCCATTGAAATTCCAAAGAGTGCAAGAACTTATACCGCAACAGAAAGAAAATAGACTCAAAAGAGCTAAAGAGTTACTTCGCTTGGCCGAAAGTGGTGAACTGCCGAATTTGGTTTTCTCCGGTGAGAAAAAATTCGCTGTCCAGCTGTTTGTAAACAAACAAAATAATTGTCTTTACTTGCCAAAGAGGTCAGCTGAAAATGTGCACCTTCGATTGGCCACCAGAACTCAAGCGCCGGCCATGGTGATGGTGTGGGCCGCCATAACAGCCAATAGTCGCTCTCCGCTCGTATTAATGAACCGTGGCATCAGAATTAATGCCGAATATTATCGCGAAAATATTCTGGAGGGTGTATTAAAGCCATGGGCACGCAAACATTTTGGCCGCAGACCCTGACCTTCCACCAGGACTCAGCCCTATCTCACTCAGTACGCGCCACCCAAGAATGGTTACAAAATGAGGTTCCTCGCTTCATTTCCCGCGCACAAAGGCCATCAAGATCTCCGTATACCAATCCGTTGGACTATTGTGTCTGGAGTATTTTGGAAAGCAAGGTTGGCATTAAAAAATACCAAAGTGTCGATCACCTCAAGCAAGCGCTTCGCCGGGAATGAACCAAACTATCGCAGAGCAACATTCAAACAGCGTGTGACGGTTTCATTGGACATTAGAAGGCCATAATTCGTGCCAATGGTGACCGATTCGAACGAATTTAAACTTATTCTAAAATTTGATGCTATTTACGACATTTTTTGCTTTCATTCAATAACATTTTAAAAAAATTAAAAATTATGGCGTTTGATTTTGTTGCAGTTTTTGATCGCACTCTGTATGTTAGTTTCGAACGAATTTTTCTCCCACTCTAAAACGGGCAAAAGCCTACTCGCCCTTATTCGGGTTTGCTCGTTTTGTCTGTTCTACTCCCAGGAGTAGAACTCAACTTTGAGCGGGTCTCACTTTTTATTCGAGTTCGAGCGAGTTTTTCCGAGGTCGGCCCAGAAGCATATATTTCTTGTAATCGAGCTATGTTAAGAGATGACCTATATTGGCGATGTATATGAGGTATAGCTCCAATTTCTACAGGTCAACTCTCTTGGAAATGGATGATTCAGGATCCGGTTGGAAATGGGAAATGGAAATGGAATTCCACCAATTTTGGTTTATAACAATTAATATACCTTATGTTCATCCGGGCCGATCTCACAATTCCCTCCAACATTAGAAAAAAATAAAAATCGTGAAAAAAACGTGCCGTTATATGAGCGTTATAGAAAAACTTGATCATATACAAAGTTCTTCGAACCTAGCTAAAAACCCATTAGGAACTTAGAATACAAAATAGTCGATAAATGCTTTAAAAAAGTGTATTAAATCGCAAAAGACCAAAAATCGGAAGGGTTGGGGGCTATACCTAACGTGGGCCAATATAACCCATTTCCAATACCAATCAGCCTGCATATAATACAAACCTTTGTGACAAATTTCAAATCTCTATACTCAAATAATTCGAGATGCTGCATACGCGATGACAAATTTCATATAACCTCCATTGCATGGTGAATGGTAAAAAAAACTATTTTTATTATCGACAAATTTATCATATTTTCCGCTATTTTTCTAGTCAGTTCTGCTTTGTTTATCGTTGTAATTTTTGAAAATCCTGCTTACCACTTCTTCGAGTCCTCTCCTCAAAGTGTCAAAATGATTCATAGCTTTTATTAAAAATTTCCATTGGCCTCAATTTTCCCATTGTGCACATCCGAATTGTGTTGCTTCTCGCCTCGGAAATTGAGTCGAGTGTTGAGAGTTCAGAGTTGCTGTGACGTTTCGTTTCATTCCGTTTTATACTTTTCTTTTCATTTAATTTATATCTTCATTTAATGTTTTTGTTTGTTGCCATATTTCTTTCGTTCTTTTGGTGGTGAAATACATTTCATTGCTTTGCTGTTTCTGGTCGTGGTGTTGGTGATGCTGCCACCACTAACACCAGCATCAATGTCATCACTCAGCAAACGGGTGCACTCTGGAACACTGGAGCAATGGCACAATGGAGTAGTAATTCATAGATGTGTCACTGTTACATGTTGCGCTGCCATTGGTGGCTGTTGCTGGCTGCTGCTGCTGCTGATGCTGGAATCCAGTGTGGTGGCGGTGTTGAACATGACGCAGCCACTGTCGTTGTGGTTGCCATTGCTTTTTTGTTGGTATATTATTTATTTCGGTTTTTTGTTCTTGCCTGGGTTCCACTGCTGTATGACAACAATGATGACAGCTGTCATGATGAAAAAGTCTCAATTGTATAAAGTATCTTGTGATTTAATGTTAAGGTTCCTCCATTCGGTTTTTTTTTTTGCATTCCATTCGCCTCTGCAGAAATCCATTCAAAGGATTAAGTAACAAAATCAAAGCATAAATATTGGATTCGTTTATAAGCAACAGCAACAATAATAACAACTCTGGAAAGTGATATAAATAAATTTATAAAACATTGAATGCGAGCATCATTTATTTTTATGATGATGCATCGTCGTTCATGGAGTCCATAACAGGCGTTTGTTTCAGACAATTAGTTATTGAAATCGTTAACAAAATTAGGAAAAAATTAAAGTGGTACCCAGTCTGTCAGTGGTAACTCCTTTGGATTGTGACTCTGTCCAGTCGGTGTATAAAAATAGTTGATTTACAATATTTATCTACAACTACAACTGGAAAGATAAAATCTTATTTCTGCCGTATGTGTGTACAATAATATATACAGAAGCTTAAATTTGTCTGAAGCAGAAGCTTAAATTAGTCTGATGTTAAGGTATTTAAAATAATTTATATTTTTTATGATTTTATATTTTCTTTGTGAGGTACTTATGAAGGTTTTCAAAAACCTGAGTTTTGTTACATATAACTTTTCGATATTATTCAATGCTTTTCTGTTTAACAATTGGACCTGCAAAATTTACAAATTAGCATGCTATCAGATATTTATCGAATTTTTATACCAGATTTTTTATTACTTAGCTTGTTGTACAATTTATCGTAGACGAATTCACTTCCGCCTCAAAGTATGCTTCAGTTTTTTGTTTGCCATGTTAAATTATTGAACTGAGTACAGTTACAATTATTAGATACCACATATATAGGTAACATTTATTGGAGTAAAATTAAGCTTTTTCCCTTTTCATACCCTCCACCAAAGATAGCATGGAGGTCATACTAAGTTAGTCATTCCGTTTGTAACTCATCGAAATAATAATTTTATACCTAACAAAGTGTATATATTCTTGATCAGCGTAAAATTCTAAGACGACCCGTCTATTTTAATAACGTTAGAGTCAAAACGAATTAGGATAGGAAGCTAATATTTTACACGGATAAGTCTTTTGTCTGCAGGTAGGCCAAGTTCAAAGATGGACTACATCGGTCCACGATATTGTATAGCCCCCATATAAGGGTAACCCTCGATATTCAGTATTTTGATGATTTTAACCAGATTTTTCTATAGAATTGTCTGAAATTCTACAAAAGGAGTTGTTCTTGACTAATTTACCCCCTGAATAAGAATTGTTTATATAGGTCCACGATATCGAATAGCTCCCATATAACTGTACCTTCCGATATTAGGTAATTTGCTGATTTTTGCGACACTTTTAAATGGAATAGTCTTAAAATTCACACAAAGAGTTCCCTCTGAGTACTTTACCCCTTGGAAGATAATAGTCTATATAGGTCTACGTTTTAGTATAGCACCCATAGAACGCTACCCCGAGATATTATGTATTTCCAGGATTTTCGCGACATTATTATTAACCGGAATTGTGTCAAATTTCGTATTTGAAGTTCGTAATAAATACTACAACCTGGGACGGAAAATTGTCTATGCAGGTCTACGTCTTAGTATAGCCCCCATACAACGGTACGTCCCTTTATTCGGTATTTTGATGATATTAGCGACATTATTCAATGGAATTGCATCAAATTTCGTATTTGAAGTTCGGAAACGTTGCTACAGCCTATCGCAAAAAAAATAATTATCCAGCACCACGTCTTTGTATTGACCCCATATAAAGGTCTTCATATGAGCGATATTTTTCGAAGGATTTTTTTTTTTGAAATTTTCAAAGTTTTTTCAGAATGGTGGAAAAATTAAAACTTTAAACATCCATATGATCTATTTAGACCAGACACCAACGACTCAAAACGAGAACTAGTGGTGTTCGTGGGTCAAATCTTGTACCTAATACACTAAAGGAAATAACCGGAAGCTCATACACAGTTGAAAACTGTCAGAAAACAAAGAACAAAAGTTCGAAAATTTAACAACACTTTGAAAGAAATTAAAAACATGAGGCACGTAATATTCATTGCTGACCCCAAGAAGTATATATAGGGTGAGAAAAAAAACTGCAACAAAGTCAAACGCCATAATGAAAGCAAAAAATGTCGGTCATACGCAGCCCGAATGTTACATTCCCGGCGAAGCGCTTGCTTGTGGTGATCGATACTTTGGTATTTTTTAGTGCCAACCTTGCTTTCCAAAATACTCCAGACATAATAGGCCAACAGATTGGTATCCGGAGTTTTTGGTGGCCATTGTGCACTGGAAATGAAGTGAGGAAGCACATTTTGTAGCCATTCTTGAGAGACGCGTGCTGAGTGCGATGGTGCTGAACGCTGTTGGAATGTCCAAGGCCTGCGGCCAAAATGTTTGCGTGCCCAAGGCCTTAATACACCCTTCAGAATAAGGTCATATCGGTCCACTTTTTCGGAAAAAAATTTATATAAGTATGATTTAAGTTATCATCGCATGTGGCCATGGGCATGGGATATTTGAATTTAATATCCCCATATCCCATGACAATGGTAAAATGTTTCTCCAATGAGGTATTCTGAATATAAATAAATATTTTCAGCTATCAATATAAATTATTACTAAGCATTTTTTAATATATTTTTTTATTTTAATTATACTTGTGTATTTATTTTTTGCATCAATTATTCTCCTAATTCCTTAAATAATCTCCTTAAATTAATTCATCCTCTTTATAAAACAGATCCCACACAATGAGTTTCTTATACAGCGGCAGATCTTTAAATTCGACATCATCACTTATGGCCAAGCATTTTATTACTTCATCTGCCCCGCTAATGGGTTCCCATTTTACGCCCTGAATTTCCTTACAATTTGGATTCGATGCCAGTGCGAAATTATACCACATGCCAATCATACGTTCAATGGTTTTGTACTCCCTACTATCGGTACTGATTTTTTCAGTTATGGCACTATAAAATAAATACGACAAATCATCAGCATGTGATGTGCCACGTATGGAGGGGCCACAGGTTGCCCAGCGGAATTGATTAAACGATTCAGAGTCGACATCAAAATAATAACAGTAGGTTGGAGAATTACTCGCGTACTTCATACGCCCCTTCAGCGTTCTCAAAATGCCATGCCAAAACGATCTGTGACCCAGAAGATTTAAGAATTGAAAGAAATTCCCAGCAAAAGTTGGTTGGGTACCGCCGAAGTACACATCCCTTAAGAGTAAAGCTTTTTCTTTGGTTTCCGCACTGAAACTCGCAGATGATTTCACATCGTCTGGTATTAGATTCTGGAAATCACTTAATTCATCTATTAACAAGTAAGCAAAGGCTACAGTCGAGCGGGGCCGACCGTTGAATACCCTACAACACTACAATAAACGATACAGTGTATATAGGCGAGATACTCGAAAGAATTCCACAAGATATTGTGGCAAATAATAAAAGAAAACCATCAGATTTCGTTCTCTAATTTTCGAATAATAGCAACTTAAACTAATTTGCTCATTTCCAATTTATTTGTAGATGTTGCACGTAAATGGTCTTCCTAGATCTGAAACCAATATTTCCCAAACCTATAGTCTCTCAGAAGTGGCAAAAGATTAACATTTATTATTGGTTTTTGACTGAAACGCATCTATATGAGATACAGACATTTGACTAAATTCTTCAACGAAATCGGCGTTAACGAAATAGTCAGAAGTGCGTCTTTCCAGTATTTGTGAATTCTCCAAAAAGTCACTGGAATGGACATTTTCTTATTTTGTCTACAAAAGTTGGCAAACTATTTCACACATTGAATATTTTTGGATGGCCATCCAAAACTGCTTGGCTTTTGCAATGTCCGGTAACACCCATTCAAATGTGCGTGAGGATCGGGCGATAATTACGACCTGCTGACAATTTTGAAGTTTTGTTGGTCCATTTCAACCGCTAAATATATGGCGATCATCTCCAAAAAGAGTAGGCTTCTATTCTGACCCTCATTTTATCCCTATGCAAAATATCGTAAGGATCGGGCCATAAATGCGATCTGTATATGATATCTTGATATTCTAACTACTTAGTTTTGTTAGCTGTAGAAATATTACCAAATGTTTAATTCAAAATGAAAATATGCCAAAAATATGAAAAAAATTGAAAAAATATGAGAAAATTTTACAAAATCAATATTTTCATCTTTAGAGAGATATTTTTATGCGATTTTTTTAGACGTTTTTTCTTTCCTGCCAAGAGGCCATTCTGAATTAATGAGAACTGTCGAAATCAGTTCAGCCGTTCTCGACATATAAGAGATCTTTCAAGCATATCTTCTTTAATAGACATATATATCACACATATTTTGCTATATATTCGATTTGTTGGATCTTAACATCAATGTAAAGATCAGAAGTAACCTTGTCATGGCTTTGTGATTTCGCCGGGATTTAAAATATTCGCGGTTTAATGAAAAATTTTGAATTTTTTCAACAAAAAAGATATGGTCTATTTTAGACGCTAAATATTATCCGATGACCACCCAAATTGGTAGGCTTCTTCCCCGCCCTAAACTCTAGCTACATGCGAAATTCCGCGTCGATTGGTCTATAATTGCGGTCTGTATAGCTACTGCAAAATCCGACATTTTTTCAGTATTTGGTCCATTTCAACCCCTAAACCTTTGGCGATCATCTCCAAAAGAAATAGGGTTCTATTCTGACATTAACCCCACCTACATTTTAAATTTCGTGAAGATCGGGCCATAATTGCGACCTGTAGAGTGATTACAAATTAACATGGACAGACGGACAGACGGACAGACGGACAGACGGACGGACGGACATACATAGCTAGATCGACTCAGCTCGGCGAGCTAGGAAGATCCATATATACTTTCCTATATGGGAAACCAATATTTCGAGGTGTTACATAAATTCTGGCCCAATCAAACTTATAATACCCCCAACACATAGTGTTGTAGGGTATAAAAATGGATATTTCTGGACAGTGGCAAAATGCAATAGTCCTTCAAATGAGTTGCCACCAATTAGCAAGGGTATTTCATTACCCCAACCTGTGGCTAAGAATTCCTTCAAGGGCTTATCCACCACACATTGCTCAGTTTGATATGGCTCTATAACCGGGCGTATGAGAACAATTAAATTATTCCATATTTCCTCTTTGGTCATCATATCTAAATCCTTAAAGGCCAACTTCTTGGCATTTTGCTGTTGCAGGAACTCATAAACTTGTCGGTCGTTATTTTCTCCCTCATAGCCAATGTAGCAGGCAAATTTATAACCCCAATCATGATGCTCTGTAAATGACCAAGGACACAGTACCGAACCAGATTGCATAATTGCCTTGTGAAAGAGACCCTTCGTCTGTGGCGTCATCATCATAAATTGTGTCGACCCCGCACCGGCACTTTCACCAAAAACTGTAATATTTTCGGGATCTCCATTGAAATTGTGTATGTTTTCTTTGACCCATTTCAAAGCCATGACTTGATCTTTTAACCCGGCATTACCGGGGATATTCAGCTCCGGATCATCCAAACAGAGGAAACCTGTAAGAAAGAGAAGGAAAACCTTTTTACTCAAGGAAATAAAATATGATTATTGTTATTGTAAACCATTTCTACTTGGACCTTAAAAATTCTAATACTTGGAGAATGGAATTCTTTGTAGACCTTTCCAATGAGCCATTTTTGCGAGCATGATTTCAAAATTTCAGTATATAGCAATTTTGCTGAGAGATGGCTAGGAACATAAAACCTCTAAAATCGGACCGTGCCAATATGTGGGTCTTATATTAAATGTCTACCTATTGGTCTGTTCGAGAACTTCAAGAATGCGAAAATTTTTACCACTATAACCGATATTCCTTTATGAAAAAAAAAATATGGAAAACAGTTACAAGAATATTAGATTCCTACAGATTTTGGAACAGAAATTCAATTAAAATCCTAATTGGCATATTACAGCGAAAAATGATGCGGGAGATCGGTTCAGTTTATCCGATTTCAGGTTTATTTTGTACCAAATGGCTAATATCAGCCCAAATGGATTGAATTTTTGCACTTCCGACGGAATTCAGCCTGGAAGCAAGTACGACAATTTACCAAATTTTATCGAGATCGTTTCAGATTTATCCTTATCTTCGATATACATCTTAATCCGAATTTACGGCTATTGTCCACCATATATGTAATCGATTTTTTCATATTCAATCGAATTTTTCCATTTGACGAAACTCTAGAATTTCTATTGCTTAAATAATAATTTTTTATATAATTCTAATCGAAGTCATATCATGCACTACACAGCAATGTTTTTGGTTAGTAGAAAATAAGTTTGTAGAAAATCGATTCAGAGTTGGATATAGTTCCCAAATTGTGACAACTCTAAAGCCATAATACGCATTCAAATAAGGTTAATAGTTCCCAATAAAAATAAATTTCCAATAAAAACTTTTTTGATACGGGAGCTGTATTAAATTCGCAGAGTGGTGTAGGGTATCATATAGTCGGCCCCGTCCAACTTTTGAACTACCTTTATTGTTTTTTTTTACGGGAGACTATATCAGATATTCTAAGACAATTTTAATCTCTATCTTAAATATTGGTTTATTGTGATTAAAACAGACAGACTGTCAGACAGTCAGACTGGCATGGCTAAATAGATATGGAATTTGATGGTCAGCGATTATGCAAACGGTTTAAAGAATGTCTCCTTCTCGTGAAGAACTCTCCCCATATCCATAGAATGAAGGTCCCCTCATCTCCGACGTTTTGAGAATCATCCAACCACTCGTCAACCTACTTGTTAATTTACAGATAATACTCACCTAATACACCCAATCGGTAGTTAAATGTAACCACAATAACATCTTTTTGCATAAAATAATCTGGCGAATACAAGTCTCTTGAGGCTTCTCCCACCTGATAGCCACCACCATAAATCCAAACCATTACCGGCAATGGTTTGTCACTTTCCAGCTATAAACAAAAACAATTATATTTAAAGAATTTAAAAAAATACCCATTGAATTACATACCTTCTTACAATAGACATTTAAATACAAACAATCCTCTGAACCCTCAATCCATTTGGCTAAAAAATTATATTGAATAGGTTTCGCTTTGCCTTTGGTACAATCAAGCACCCCCTGCCAGGGTTCGGGGGGTTGGGGTGCTCGAAATCGCAATTCATTTATCGGAGGTTTGGCAAATGGTATTCCCTCAAAACTGAAATAATAGCCATGTTCTTTGTAGACATTCAAACGTTTAAGGCCTTTGACTGAACCATATGCCGTACTGGCTGTGCACGTTTCTCGGGTGTCGGATTGAAATTGCCGGATTTTGTTGGTAATAAATCTGCAATTATAGTTTTTAAATGCAATATGAAAAAATTAAGAACTACCTACCTTCCACCCAATCGAATTTTTGTTCTCATACCAATATTGACTTCCATTTTTTTCTAATTTTTTAATTAGCGTAGTTTTACGCTATGCCCAATCACCTGCAACACAATTAAGCGACTGAAATAATAACAGAAAAATGAAAACAATTCCAAAACAATAGAAATGGCAAAGGTTGAGATTATCTGATCGTACATGGAAAAGGTAAAAAAGTGTACTGATAAAAAAACGCGATATGGCACAGTGTCATGCAATAGTTATATTTAATAGAGATTATTAAAAATAGTTCGAAGATAACACAATATTCATACCGTATTTAAAAAGAATAATATTTTATTCCGAAATACTGTGTCTAATCAAATTATTTTTAATTGACCAGAACAGTCTCATGCTTATAATTCTATGGCAACAGAAAATGATAGCTGGCATTTCCATCAAATGAAGTGAAATGCTTTGAAAACAAAATTATATATTTCCAATGAAATTCATTTTCAGTTTGAAATTAACAACTGAAGAGCTTAACGAGAAAGCCATAGAATATTGTTTTGTGAATTTGAAGTCCAGCATTTTTGTGGTAGACTAAAATATGATTTTTTTTTTGGAAAGAAGAGGACAATGAGTTTTTTCTTGGGAATCATACCATATTTAATGTGAATAAATTAATTCTTTTTATGTATGTGTTCCAGTACAAAAAAAGGAAAAATATTTTAAATCTTGCAAAATTTTTAAATTTTTTTGCAGGTTTTGGGATAGGGCTGGCAACGGCAAACAAATGCATAATGGGACAATACCTAATAACAATATTCAAAGTTTCAGTCGGTGTTTCGACAGCAGTTGATCACTTGCTAATTAATACCCTTTTCGAGGGACATACCAAGAGATTGAACTTGAAATTAGTTATATTCTTTGAAGAGAATTGGGAAATTTACATTATATGAAATATAAGTTTGCTATGTATTATATTTATGCGACAATCAATACTGTCTAGTATTAATGTGTCAAGCTGAAACTGCCTTCATATTTTAATAGAAATAGATATTTTATAACCTCTATGGCACTACGGAGGGTATATGTATAAAATTTGTTATTCCGTTTATATTTATGGAAGATCGTTCGGATAGGTCCATTTTTTCTGCTGGCCCATATATATAGCGATACCTCCTGACCTCCGATATTTTGATGATTTAAGCCAAATTTTTATTAATGGGTTATATCACCAGTGGCAGAATATTGCCTACATAGGTTCATGTTTTCCTATTGACCGGTTTCTCTCAATATTCTATATTTTGATGATTTTGGCCAAAATAAAATAATTATTCGTGCTACTTTCCAAATGATGAAGGGCATTCCCAATATGAAAAAACGTACTTGCTTTGAACTCTCAAAATAGGTTGAGTTTTAGGTGTGGTCCCCATATAACTGTACCCCCATTTATAGTAGATATGTTGATGATTTTTGACACACTTTTCACCAGAAATAATTTAAATTTGGAATTTGGGTGCTATATCCGATGACAGAAAATTGCTTATACAGGTCCACGTCTTCGTATAGCCCCCATATAACGGAATCTCCCTATATTCTGTATTTTGATGATTTCTTCGACATTACCCAATGGAATTGTTTAAAATTTTATATCGTAAGTTCGTAATAGGTGCTACAGTCTACGCCTGCCTATAGATCCCATACAACAGGACCTCCTATATTCGGTATTTTGATGATCTTAGCGATATTATTTAAAGGAATTGTTTCAAATTTCCTATTTGAAGTTCTTAATTAATAATGCCATCTGTGACAAAAAATCACCTATACATGTCCACGTCTTCGTAGAGCCCTCATATAACAGTACCTCTCTACATTCGCTATTTTGATAATTTTAGCGATTTTTTTCGCCTGCACTGTTTCAAATTTCGTATTTGAATATCGTAATGGCCTATAACAAAAATTGCATAAACATGTCCACGTCTTCGCATAGTCCCCCATATAAGGGTTACTCCCCATACAGGGTGAAATAAAAAAACTGCAACAAGGTCAAACGCCATAATTTTTACATTTTTTACATTTCATTGAATGTAAGCAAAAAAATTTTTGCGGAAATAGCATCAAATTTTAGAATAAGTTTAGATTTGTTCGAATTGGTCACATTTGGTACGAATTACGGCCTTCAAACGGCCAATGAAACCGTCACACGCTGCCTGAAATATTTGCGTGCCTGAGGTTTTAATACGCCCTCCAAAATATTTTCGCGATAATATTCGCCATTTATTCTGATGCCACGGTCGATAAATACGAGCGGAGAGCGACCATCGGCTGTTATGGCGGCCCACACCATCGCCATGGCCGGCGCTTGAGTTCTGGTGGCCAACCGAAGCTGTACGTTTTCAGCTGATCTCTTTGAACACGATCATTTTGTTTGATTACAAACAGCTGGACAACGAATGTTTTCTTATCGGAGAAACCCAAACCAAAATTCGGCAGTTCGCCACTTTCGGCCAAGCGAAGCAACTCTTTAGCTCTTTCTGTTGGGGTGTAAGTTCTCGCACTTTTTGGAATTTCAATGGCTTTACCCCAAGCTCACTTTTCAATATTTGCCGAATGGAATATTGTGATATGTTAAGCTGACGAGCCATTTACCGGCCACTGCGACACGGAAGAAATCACACTATCTCGCTTGAATTCCATTACGAATACCTTTTTTCCGGGAAAATTCTCGCCAAAATGCGTTTGTACGCTTGTAAACAATATAATGAGCTGTCACAGGAATTATTTTAACAGCTGTCGGACGTGTGGCTTAGAAAAAACAGCAGTCTGAAGTTGGTTGCAGTTTTTTTCATCTCTCCCTGTATTTTAGAACAAACTATAAAATATCTCTAAGCCAAATTTCCAAATTCAATCATTATTTCTTCAATATTCATTGCTCAAATCAACTATTCATAAACAAATCCACGCTTCGCCCACGCCTGCCATTTTAATGATACAAATAATTAAATTTTTCCTGCAAATATAAATAATCGAATTGCGATCTAACCCATTTTACCCCAAAAATAAAAACTGCATAAAATTTCCCAAAATTTTTATAATAAAATTCACTCACTTTAACCAGTTGCCAATAATTGACGTGTTTTTCAATTTCATGAATAGCAAACTAAGGCAATGCGCTTCAATCGGCCAGTGTCCTTGTAATGTAATTCGCAACAATTTTGTTTTTGTATATTTCGCATGTTCGGCAAATATTTAAATTATATTTACTTTATTTATAATACAAAGTCATACACATACATGAGTACACACACACACACCTACATAGATATGGTCACCAACATTTATATTAGCATATCGAACCAGCATAGCATATCATTCATGATGGTGGCACAATGTAATTTTTTGGGAAGGGGGAGAGAGAGTGGAGGCAATGCATTGCCGGGCGTTGACAACTGAAAAACAAATCCGATAATTGAATGTATTGTTGCGTAAATGTGTCAATTAAATTTGTTGATGGATATTCATTCGCATAAAAATGGTAATAGGAAAATATGCATACCTGGCATGATTATTAACACCTCTTGATGTATGTATCCTTCCTGTTTCCTGTCCCTATGGTTAAAGTGTGGATGTGTGTGTGTTTGAGCAATTTATGCACAACGACAAAAACATACACCTACTCAAACATATAAACCATATGACATAAATGACATGTGGGTTGTTCTTTGTCTCTCCTCTCCGCTCCCCTTATTTAAATTTTTATGAACACACGTATTAACCCGAGTGTTCAACACTTCATTTAAACTTTTTCCATTTCAGCTGTTATCCTTCTCTGTTTTTAATTTGAAATTTTTCCAGGTTAAGTTTTAAGTTTTGAAACGTAAACATGCATGAGTTGACAAAAGCTTTTTGGATATTTGTATCTTGGTGAAAAAAATAAAAAAACAAACCCGTACACAATACACGTATGCGAACCTAAGGGGGAGAATTGTGTGTGGATGTGTGTGTGTGCGGTTGTATGGGTTTAAGTACATTGGATTTACAGGTGGATGCGTTTTGACATAGTTGACACACATAGAACAGTGACAACAAACTTTGCTGGGAGTAACAGCTTTTTGAGGGAATTTTACTCTCTGCGATGTCTGATCATTGAAGGTTCCCAAAAAAGTGGAAAGCTAAAAATATGGATATCTACTCATGACATTTTTAGAGTTATATATTATCAATAGAACAGTGTGGCTTGTTTGTTCGGGATACCGTAGTATTTTGTTGTTGCAAAATGGTCAGGCTTATCCCTTTATTGTTGTTTTTATAAAAACAACGTTTGTTTATTAGTGGAGAACGATGGTAATGTTTACCAAGGGGTAAGGCAGGGAATACCTAGGTTTCGGAAAGAGCCACCAATCCTCACCAATTCCCTTGTTTTTGTCTGGGATATTCTCCCCAGAAGTTATTTTAAAAAATAACTTCTATGACAAAAAACATTTTTTACCCAAGTGACGAGATCGTAAGCTCAATAGAAGAGGAAACAAAGAATTAAATAAAACTAAAATTCTTTTGGAAAGTCTTCTAAATCTTACAACCGCACTTATAAACATTTACATCTTTCTCCACTTGTTATGCTTTCGTTCAACCTGAACGAAGTAGCATAACCATGTAAGTTGATTTTGTCTGTTATAATATCCATATCCTTAATTTTCCGAGTACATACAGTGAGTATTCTAGCAAAAAATTAAATAATTCACGATTTTTCGAAAGAAGGCATTAACAACATTTGTTTCGATATGGAACCTTCAAAGAATTATTTTTAAAAATAAAATAAAAATAAAAGTATTTGAACAATAAATCTTAAAAGATTTCTCAAAAATTATTAGTTTTTCTTGGCATTCCTTACAAAAATAGTTTAAAGAAGATTTTTATCAATAAGTTCCTATAAATCACGTTATTTGACCATGCTTGATAGTTTTATTTTGTTCCTTAAGAACCTGGTATTAGGTCCATAAAAATATTTTCTAAAACATAAACACTTTTTGTCATGGGGACCTTCTTAAATCGCAACTTTTAGAAAAGGAACCTAGAAAAGAAAACTAAGAACTTTTTCCAGTAGTTTTTAAACTATAGCTAAAAATTCTAAATTTAACAAGTAA